AGCTACCAAACGTGCCTTAAATTGCTTAATCTCGCCGTGCTGGTCGCGTTTAATTGTGTACACTCACTTGGATCCGACCACTTTCTGACCTGGTGATAATTCGACAAGTACCCATGTGTACAACCTTTAGCTACCAAACGTGCCTTAAATTGCTTAATCTCGCCGTGCTGGTCGCGTTTAATTGTGTACACTCACTTGGATCCGACCACTTTCTGACCTGGTGATAATTCGACAAGTACCCATGTGTACAACCTTTAGCTACCAAACGTGCCTTAAATTGCTTAATCTCGCCGTGCTGGTCGCGTTTAATTGTGTACACTCACTTGGATCCGACCACTTTCTGACCTGGTGATAATTCGACAAGTACCCATGTGTACAACCTTTAGCTACCAAACGTGCCTTAAATTGCTTAATCTCGCCGTGCTGGTCGCGTTTAATTGTGTACACTCACTTGGATCCGACCACTTTCTGACCTGGTGATAATTCGACAAGTACCCATGTGTACAACCTTTAGCTACCAAACGTGCCTTAAATTGCTTAATCTCGCCGTGCTGGTCGCGTTTAATTGTGTACACTCACTTGGATCCGACCACTTTCTGACCTGGTGATAATTCGACAAGTACCCATGTGTACAACCTTTAGCTACCAAACGTGCCTTAAATTGCTTAATCTCGCCGTGCTGGTCGCGTTTAATTGTGTACACTCACTTGGATCCGACCACTTTCTGACCTGGTGATAATTCGACAAGTACCCATGTGTACAACCTTTAGCTACCAAACGTGCCTTAAATTGCTTAATCTCGCCGTGCTGGTCGCGTTTAATTGTGTACACTCACTTGGATCCGACCACTTTCTGACCTGGTGATAATTCGACAAGTACCCATCCATCGTAGCTTTCCACTCGTTGTTGTTGTTGTAGCAGCATACAAGCTTCCCAAAGAGTTGTTGGGGAGTGTTGTTGGAGTGACAGTCCTTGGCCAAATATAAATCTGGGTCGTTCCGGTTACGTAGACCCGACTGTCGTGGGAACGAGCTTTCCACTCGTCAACATAATGACTGTCTAACGTCTCCTTCACACTGTTGGGAGCCACCGCTAAATCTTCATTCATTACGTTTACTTGATTGTACAGTTTACGCGGACGACCTCTTGACCCTGTACGCAACAATCTTGGCCTACCTGGACCAATCACAGCTGCACTCTGTGCTTCGTTGCTGTCGTCTTCAATATTCGTTGATTCTGCTGCTTCACTGGAAATTGCTGCCATGTCTCCTGTCTCCTCACTCTCATTATTTTGCGGCACTTGCATCGGATCTGCAATCGACACCACGTCTGACTGTGCTTCGTCCAACTCTATTAACCTCGGTTCTGGCTCTTCACCAACATGAGCATTTTCAATGAACACCACGTCACGGCTTATTATGACCTTTCGGCTGTGTTTATCTATTAAACGATAGCCTTTGCTAACTTCTGAGTACCCAATCATAATATATTCTTTGCCTTTCGGGCGGAACTTTTGCGAATGCTTTTTATCGAGGGCTACTGCCTTCGAACCAAAGACCTTAAGATGTGACACATTTGGTTTTGTACCGCTCCACAACTCATGTGGCGTTTTATCTACTAGTATTTTTGTCACTGTGCGATTTCGAAGATAAGTTGCGGTTCGTACCGCCTCCGCCCAAAAATGCTCACCCAGATGTGCATACTGCAACATGGCCCTAGCCATCTCGACCAACGTACGGTTAGCACGTTCTGCTACACCTTTCTGCTGAGGAGTGTATGGTATGGTCAATTGTCGTTTTATACCGTGCTGTTTTAAAAACGAATCGAACGCATTTGAAATATATTGACGCCCCTTGTCGCTTCTTAAGTTCTTAAGTTTGCACCCGGTTTGCTTTTCAGCCATTGCTTTATAGTCTTTAAATGTCTCAAACACTGTATCTTTTGTCTTCAAAAAATACACATACATGTATCTCGATTTATCGTCCAAGGAAGGTAGCGAAATACCTCGAACCACCAATTGACGCGCAATTAATTGTCCCACAAACATCACCATGGACAATTTCCAGCAAATCCCGCTGTCAACGCACCAAGTCTGCTTCGCAATTAACACGTGTAGTGATGTTTTCGCACTCGTCATAAAGCATGACCGTTCGACATTATTGCCTTCTTTTTTGCACTCGTTCTTTTTCGGCTCTCTGCATGATGCCGCGAAATGTCCACGACGACCACAATTAAAACACTTGCCACTTCTGCTGTTCTTATTGTTTTTGTTGCTGTAGTTCCCAGAACTGTTATCAACGTCTGCGCTGTTCTTGCTTGCTTTTTGGAAAGTTCCAGACGCGTTTGCTTGGGCTTGCATTAACACTTCTGTACCTTTTTTATGTTTTTCTTCGCTAGCACACTGCCGCGCACCCTCTTCTAACAACTTTACCTTTAAAGTGTTAAACGAAGGCAATACATCCCTTGTCTCCATCGCCGCATACTGTGGCGGCAAACTTGAAAGCAAAATTATTACTAACACCTCCTGGATGCGACAAAACTCATTTAAATGATTTGAAACATAAGCTCCCTCAGACATACTGAGGTGTAAAAGTTTTTTAAACAGTAAAATTTTTCTCGCTGGCCCTTTTGGCTGATGGATTTCGCGGAGTTTGTTCCACGCTACCATTGCGCTTGGCAAATTTTTTTGGTGATTGATTTGCGAAGGTTTCACGCAAAGTAATATTGACGCCAACGCTTTTTCGTTTTCCTCTTGACACACAGTATGCAAAAGTTCAATAACGCAAGGTTTTTCAAAGAAATACCGACACACAGTAAAGCGCTTGGCCCATAACCTGTTTGATTTGTTGTATTTGAATAGATAGAATAGACTTACTTTACATTTGACAAACGAATTGCTTACGAGCTGTGCGTACAAGAGAACAAAAGGAAACGAATGAGTGATGGAGAGTGTTGCCACATTTCATATATTTCCAACAGTTACATATTGTTGAAATGTTGTTTTTATTATCGCTAATATAAACTTTAACAATTAAATTATAAATTTTAGTACAATTCCAAGTGTTTCCTGCATTTTGATACAAGTAAGTGCCTTCATTTGCTTACAGTAGGCGAAAACGCAAGGGAAATATATGATTTTTGGCCATTTTTCTAAGAGGTCCCTAGAGACCTATAGGAGGCCTAGGCGGTCGGCGGTTGCATTTTTGGGAATGGCGGTTCATGCCCTCTCTAAAGTGGGGGAGACGCCACGCCCACTCCCCCTTCGACCATTATTGGAAACCCAACCCGCGAAATTTTCCCTTTAGAATAAAATATTGTTATACCTTAAAATTTATATATTTTATACATATACTATATACATATTTCGTAATGCCTCACAAAGTATTTTTGGGTAAAGTTTTCAACGATCTGGCATTACATACTTCGCGGCCATCGTTTGCGAAAGAAACTTATTTAAAGAACACTTTTATTAGCATTAATTGTTAAATATGTAGTAAAAAAAAGATGTGCATTCATTTGTTTATGAAGAAAAGATGATATATTAATAAAAAGAAAAGTGATTAGTGCATTGTTTATATAAAAAATATGTGTATAATGGGGAAATTATAACAACAAATAACTTTAAAACTGTTAGCATTTCTACACAAAATGGTAAAGATATCGGTCAATGAGCACTTCCTCAACACTCGCTATACTTTGCCTGAAATAGGAAATGGACCATTATTGGATATCTCAGCCACAAGTTATCTTTCAGTTGGTATATAAAATGTATATCTTTGGCTTAGTGTGCAAACGTGCTAAGTCCGTTTTATGTAAATTGAGATTTTAATGCAGTAAGATAGCACAACTCAAAATACATCAGTTCGTTCCCACGACAGTCGGGTCTACGTAACCGGAACGACCCAGATTTATATCTGGCCAAGGACTGTCACTCCAGCAACACTCCCCAAAAACCCTTTGGGGAACTTGTATGCTGCTACAACAACAACAACAACCACTTACTGTAACCATTTCCTATATAATGGTATTTTCGAAAAATGTAAGAACTATGATATTTCAGTAAATATTGGATGCAAATTGTTGAAAATTAGAACGTGAAGTAGAATTTTGGTAAAAAAATATTATGAAATTTTTTGGAAAATGATTATGATGAAATCCTGTAACTCAGTAGGTCATTCACCAATCCTTACCAAACTCGTTACGAGCCTTGCTTAAGGTCTAGCTAAGAAATCTGAAAAAATCTTTGAAATCGATCAAGGACTACGCGCATCTACCATATAACGGTAATTTACATAAACACGAAAACTGCGATAAATCAATAACTNTTGAGATTTTAATGCAGTAAGATAGCACAACTCAAAATACATCATTACAAAAAAAAGTTACCGTAATGTCGCTCTTACTTGTTGCTATGCAGTGGTATGCAAATGTGCTAGGCCGAAAGAAATCAAGAAAATTATATAAACACCAAGGAAATCAACCACTTACTGTACGTTCCCACGACAGTCGGGTCTACGTAACCGGAACGACCCAGATTTATATCTGGCCAAGGACTGTCACTCCAGCAACACTCCCCAAAAACCCTTTGGGGAACTTGTATGCTGCTACAACAACAACAACAACCACTTACTGTAACCATTTCCTATATAATGGTATTTTCGAAAAATGTAAGAACTATGATATTTCAGTAAATATTGGATGCAAATTGTTGAAAATTAGAACGTGAAGTAGAATTTTGGTAAAAAAATATTATGAAATTTTTTGGAAAATGATTATGATGAAATCCTGTAACTCAGTAGGTCATTCACCAATCCTTACCAAACTCGTTACGAGCCTTGCTTAAGGTCTAGCTAAGAAATCTGAAAAAATCTTTGAAATCGATCAAGGACTACGCGCATCTACCATATAACGGTAATTTACATAAACACGAAAACTAAAGATAAATCACTTAAAATCGATGATTGCGATAACCACTTAGCAGAAAATTAGGTTAAGTATTATAAATTTGGATAATGGGCGTGGCTTTGCAAACCGATCGAAGGTTGACAAAAATGTTCATGCCTTTCAAATTAATTTTAAATAATGAAAGATCTTGTATCTTCCGATTATTTTGTTTTGCTTAAAAAAATGTGCATATTTCAAACATCGTTTTTAAGGAAGATTTTGTAAATATGCGGGGGTTGCGGTTTTATCGGGAGGGTCGGGAAAGGATTTTACTCCCGTCCCGCCGCCATCTTCCCGATACCGCCCATCCCGGCCAATTTTAAGTCAGTACCGTGGGTCCCGCGGGTCCCGCTATACCGCCGCCCACTTATCACCACAAATGTGTAACTCGGTAACCGATTTATCAATTTCTACTACACTCGGTGCGCTTAATAACATTGATACAGAAAAGAAATTCTTTGAAAATTATTCAAATCGGACCAAAATTATACCCGCTTCCCGTATATCTAACTGTAAATTTCAGAAATGCGGAAACTGATATTTCAAGAACTGAGGACTCTTAATTTACTCCAAGTTAATACTTACAACAGTCTCTTAACAATAAATAAGACTGCTACAGACTTTTAGGAATTGGGCGTAGCATCGCCCACTCTATCACTACAAGGGGTGTATCTCGGTAACCACTTTATCGATTTCTATCAAACTTCGTTCATTTATATCATTGAGTGTAACTCAGCATATTATCGAAAACGTTTGAAATTCGGAAAAACACCCCTGCTTATCATGCAAAGTAGTAGTTTAGAGAGAGTTGAAACGACACTATTTGATACCTGAGCCGGGTACATAAAGTTCGGTTTCGACTAAACTTATACCTCTTTAGTTACTTGTTTTTAATTATATTCCTTTATAAATAGTACATAAATTTACGAACTAAAATATTTTTTCTATATATTTTCTGAATACACTCTTCCGCATGGTTTCGCAATGTCTCGAAATACCTCCCCCGGGCCTGAAAAGTACTCGTCCAGATATTCTGTCAATGTATCTACAATTTCGCCTCTCTGATTTACACCATAAAGGGCTTGGCTGGGTGTTATGCCTATCGACCTACTCACCGAATTATTAAGTGCAAATTCAATCTTCCCTAACTGTTTTACCCAATCGCTGTGGGTCAGTGGTTCGCTAAGTTTTGCTAACATGCCTACCAAACTTCGATTTACCCTTTCTGCTTGTCCATTTGCTTGTGGCGAGTGCACTGCCACCTTTACATAGGTTATGTTTTTATCACACAGATATTGCTGAAATTCCTTCGATGTAAAACAGCTTCCCCTGTCGGGAATGCATCTATGGGGATGGCTGTAATACTCAAAGTATTTATTTAGGGCAGCTGTTACTTTTTTCGTACTGGTAGTTAACACGGGGTAAAGTTTAACATATTTGGTGAATGCATCTATTACTACTAAAATATGTTTTCGCTTTGATTGCAACGACGGAAGTGGTCCCAAATGCTCCAGGTGTGTTGTGTGAAAGGGTTTGTGTTCTTTTGGAATATTATGCAGGTTCTTATTGTTTGCCTTTTCTGGCGCCGAATACATAATGCATCTTATGCAGTTTTTCTTAAAATCGTTAATTTTTGTTTTCATATTCGGGAACCAGTAATTCGCTTTAAGTTTTTGATAGCATTTGGCGATACCTTGGTGACCCAACTGCTCATGTGTTGTTCTTATTAGTTCTCTTTCTAGTTCTTTAGGGGCGAATAGCAATAAACGATTTTCCTATTTTCTAAAAACTACGCCGTTTTCCATTGCATATTTGGGCAATTCTTCCTTCTCTAACCTATTTTTCAACTGAAGTATATTTTTATCTCTATTTTGCATAATTTGTAGCTGGAAGTCTATATCTTCACTGTCGATTACGGCCACCGCTTTTGCAGTACTCGTTTCGATCCTACTTAGGGCATCTACATGCGGCATTTTTATACCCGCCCGATGGGATATTGTATAATTGTAGTTTTCGAGCTCTTAAGCCCATCTCGCAATCCGACTGTTAACTAGCTNATTTTTCAACTGAAGTATATTTTTATCTCTATTTTGCATAATTTGTAGCTGGAAGTCTATATCTTCACTGTCGATTACGGCCACCGCTTTTGCAGTACTCGTTTCGATCCTACTTAGGGCATCTACATGCGGCATTTTTATACCCGCCCGATGGGATATTGTATAATTGTAGTTTTCGAGCTCTTAAGCCCATCTTGCAATCCGACTGTTAACTAGTTTTTTATTAAGGGTTAGTGCTAGTGAGTTACAATCGGTTACTATCTTGAATTTTAACCCTTCTAGGTAAACTCTGAATCTTCGTAATGCATAGATAACCCCTAGCGTTTCCACTTCAAAGCTTTGGTACCTGCTTTCGGCATCAGTCGTTCTTTTCGAAAAGTAGGCTACCGGATTTAAATTGTTATCTTCCTGTTTTTGGAGCAATATTGCACCGAAGCCATAGGAACTTGCATCGCAATGTAGTTCGGTTTCTTTTTTGTAACTATAAATTGCTAAAACTGGCGCCGAAACTAAATTTTTTATTAAGGTTCACAAAAGCAACACACTTTTCACTGAATATAAATTTAGACTCCTTCTTCAGAAGTTCGTACAAATGACGTGCTACAATCGAAAAAGATTGAACGAATTTTCGGAAATATGAGCATAATCCTATGAATGACTGCAATTCACGTTTATTTCTGGGCGCTGGGAAATTCCTAATAGCACTAATATGTTTATCTGAAGGTCGTATTCCGAACTCTGATACTTTATATCCTAGATATTCTGCCTCACTGTTTTGCCAACCGCTAAGTTTTATTTCCTGCTTTTCCTTAATTTTCTCACCCCCATTATTCAAAACCAAATTATTTTTTATAAACTCAGAATTCACTTCATTTATTTTGTGGTTTTTATCATGATAAAAAATAGGAAGGTAGAACCGCTGAGAGGAATTTTTCAAATTCTTGACGTTTGCAAGCAATTTAATTTTAAAATTTTACAGACAAACTCACACACACATTCTCAGTTTCAATCTCAAACCACAACGACTTTAAACAATTCCGTTTTTTTTACTCTCAATTTTTTAGGATTTTAAAATGTTGGCAAACTTAAAAAAAATCATGGCCGACGCATTGAGAGAACGGTTTTACCTTACTATGCTTTTATCATGATTTTAATTCATGTACAAAGATATGTTGTGTTTGTTCAAAAAGTCTCTACCGAGTAGTAAAGGAAATGGTAGCCATTCGTCTGGCAGTATGTAAACTAAAAGTGGTTTTGTAACTTTCTTATATTTTGTTAATATGCTTATATGTTGTTCGGGTCTAATCAGAGTTGGGCATTATTCGAATAAATTGTTATTTAGATAATTATTCGAATAAAATTTTATCCGTAATATAATTATTCGCAGATAACTTATTCACGAATAAATTATTCGTGAATAAATTGCTTGCGAATAATTTATTCGTTATTTTATTCGTTATTTTAAATAATGAATAAAAACTCATTTTTAACACATTGAGCCACCTTTTACTTTTATTTCTATTGTCAAGGATTGTAAGTTAGCTGAATTTTGTTTACTATTTTATCAAGAATACTAGCCCATTCCCTATGGTTTCGCGGCCCCTGATAAGATTTTTTGCGTTGGCCAATGCAAGAATAGCGTTGAAAACCAAATATGGGTAAAGTAAAAATTCTCACACATATTTCTGCCAAAAAAATAGCGCTCTGATGCTATATGCAAGAAAAAATTCCTTTCAATGTCATGAGCTTTACCAATGGTCTTATTTCCACTTGTGAGATCTTTTCTAAGCGTGCGTAATCTTCTTCTATGATCTTGCAACTACAACATTGATCCGATGCGTCAACCTCTAGTCTTATGTCATGTAGGCCAACAAAAGTCCTTATAAGGATGCTGAAGAGCACAGATGTGCGTTTTCTATTATAGGAGAGCCAAAAATCCTCGATGTAAAATTTGGCCATTGATATAGGTCTTGGAAGGATGTGGTCGAAACTTTCCTTGCTGATTCGCCACTTTTAAAATATCCAAGAGCTGGTTTCCTTGAGTCTTACTGCTGCAGAAATGGCCGCCCGAGCAATTTCATCAAGCGGAGATAGATGCAAGGTCGCATTTAGGGTATATGACGACGTAAGACATCGTAAATTCGTATAATATAAACATAAAAAACAAAGGAGTCCAGACATATGGGGTTTCTAGAGATTTCGACTGCAGCACCATTATGAATTGCAACCTGATTGTACAATAAGTAGGGATTTTCTAAATAACTCAACTGTAGCGCCACCTAGCGGGTCCATTTTTCGCATAAGTATTTTTCATCATGCAGGAAGAACACATTTTGAATTTGAACGAAATCAGTTCATAAATACGGCTTTTATAAATAACTCGGCTCCATCGCCACAAAGGAGTTTTCTAGTAGCCTTTAATAGGACTTTATGCGCATGGAATAACCTCCGAAATTTTGATTTAAATCTATCTAGGGGTTTCAGTTAAATCACAACAACGAAAACGGTTATCTTTTTATACATAAATATATGTACATATCTATATACATAAATTACTTGTTTTATTATTATTTTATTTGTTATTCGAATAATTAATGAAGATAATAATTATTCGAATAACGAATAACATAATTTATCCGTCATTCGAATAATTTTTTTTTGAATAAACAAAATTATTTATTATTTACGAATAACAAGAAAAACAATTTATTCATTTGTTATTTGTCATTCGAATAAATTTTGGCCAACTCTGGGTCTAATTAAGGTTACTCCGATACTTTTAAATTGTGGCATTGATTTGTGTTAACGTATACTTCGTTGATTCACATTTACTACCAACGAACGCCGCACGAAACTATTGGTGCTACCCGTATCAAATAGGGAAACAAAATTTTTAAAGTTTATGTTTTTTGGAAAACCGATGTCCGAAGCGACACTTACCATTTCTTTAAAATACACCTCCTCGAACTGGGGTAGACACCATCTATCACTGCTACTGGTTTCACGGGACATTTCGACCATCTTGACATAGAGTCGTGCGCTACCAGTTAGCATGCGACGTGCTATTAAGGGCTTTGATTTTTCGTCGCAGCCGTAACACTTCGTGATGTACTCGAACTCCTGTATCCACTTTTGGATATTCACGCCATCGTCCCCGCTAAATTTTGGGATGGCATTTTCGATGTCACTAAAATTTACAGGGAATTTTGGTGTCGAATTTACGTCTTCCAATTTCTTGATTTCGTTTTTCAGTTGCAGGATACGTAGCTGTTTCTCAAGCTGTACTTCGAGCTCCGTTAGCTCGTCGGTATATGTGGTAGCCACTACTCTGCCGGTCATATTTGCTGCTGCGCCACCGTTATCAAACGCTGCTGGCTTTTGGCTGTTTACCGCTGCCACTAATGGCGTGGCGTCGCGGTTTACTGAAGCTGCGCCGTCGTTGGCGCACGTTGTACAGTTGCCTGCTGAGACTGTGGTTTCGTTTGCTGGAGTGGCACTAACGTTTGCTGGGATGGCACTGAGGTTTGCTGGAGTGGCACTGAAGTTTGCTGAAGCGGCTGAAGTTGCTATGGGGGTCTCTGAAGTGGCACTGAAGTTTGCTGGAGTGGCTGAAGATACTATGGGGTTTGCTGAAGTGGCACTGAAGTTTTCTGAAGTGCCTGAAGTTGCTACGGAGTTTGCCGGCGGGCGCTGCTATTCTCTGTAGTGGCGCTACTGCGCTTCATCGGTGCGTTGATAGTTCCCGAGTCTTGCGGAATTATA